GTGCGTGTTGCATACGCACGGGAGTGAAGGCGTTTTGGATGCCCAGGCACTCACCACTTCACCTGTGGCCGTCGTTACAGTGGAACGAGTCAATTTGAAAGGTCGGACAAAATGCGGTAACTGTAAAAGGTAATAACTCCGTTAATACAAAGTGTTGATGATCTAAAAAAAAAAAGGTTTCATTGGTTTTCTCATGAAAGTTTCCGCAAGAAACACCCCATAGAATGTGACGAAATAAACATTAGAATTTACAATTTTTGTTCAAAAATTCATGTCCGACTTGTTCCAAAGACTCGTTCCAGTGAGCGGAGGTGCCAACGCAACGGCGAGTTCTACTGTGATATTTCCTAGGTACGAATGGTGGCAAATGAAATGTGTTCGACTCTTGCAGCAATCCCATTTTGGCTTTATAGGTTGGAATTTTTGCTGCACTTGACATTTCCAGCCTCCATGCACTCTTCCTTTTGAAATCTTTCCTAAATATTTAAGTACGCAAAAGGTTACTTATTACCTACTCTGCCGTGCTGAGGATAAACGCTGTATGATCCATCAAACGTTGCCAAATTCTCTTTGAAAAAACACGAAATTCCTGGTAAACCTAGGATTATTTTCCTTCCAACTCTTTTAATGATTTTTTTCACAATTGGACGTATTTATGCGAAAAGGAGATATGTGGAAGTGGAAAGATGGGGTGTGCTCGTTAGTGGTCGGGCCATAAGAATGAATGGGGAATATAAAGCGCCAGTGACGTCAGCGGCGACGACGGGAGCAACGACGCCCGGCAACGCGGGCTTTAACTCATGAGCCCTGTCCACAACGCTCTCTTGCCGTGCCCGCGGCTCATATATGAGTTAGCATATTTTGGCGCTTAGCTCCTTTTGATTTAATAGAAAATCCCGCTTTTCAATTTTCTCAAAAGGAGCTATATCCACTTTTACATTGTTTCTTATGACCCAACTAACGAGCACACCCCATCTTTCCACTTGCACATATCTCCTTTTCGCAAAAATACGTCCAATTTCACCTATAGCCCCTGAAAATTTCAAGGATAAATACTCACAACTCTCCTCACAAATTCAAATTTCATCGAAGAAAATTTGGCAACTCTCGAATGTTCATACGGCGTTCTTCCTTAGCACAGCAGTGCTCCGGAATTTACCGCGTGGCATTTTTCGCCTTTACGTTCACGCAAACACGCACCGCGGAAACCGACCTAACTTGTTGCATCATTCAACGGAGGTAAATCACGTGAAAAGTTCATCGTCTGAGCTGCTCGTCAGATAGTCTCGTGTTCAGCATATTTAACGCTGATTGTGAGCCTCACTATGACGTGTTTCTCCAGAGAAATTCTCAACGATCCCGACGCGAAATGTTGAGCGGAATTTGACCTCTTCCTTGTCTCTGATTCAGCGAAGAAACGTCTCCCAGCGGCACGCAGTGAATTGAGCTAATAGAAGAGGTGGGACATGGAATTGTTGGCTACAGTTTTGAATTTTAAAGTTTAGTTTGTCACAAATTCAATTTCAATGGGAGTTTCTGCAGTGCTGCCATCTCCCGGAATTAATCCCAAAATTCGGAACTTTTCCCGGAATCTTCTGAATCCCCGAAATTTTCAGCTATTTTCGGGATTTCCTCGAAATTTGCGGTTTTTCGCCAGTTCGACCATTTATTTGATCAAATTTAGGGACTTTTCGATCAAATTTGACGATCTTCGGAACTAAATCCGGGCGTATTTCGGAATTTTTCCCCTAAACTTTTGAAAAAATCGGAATTTTTCTCGGAGATTTGGCAAATCGGAATATGTTTCCAGAGATCGGAATTATTTGAGAATCTTTTGATAAAATAAAATGGCAGCACTGTGTTTCTGAGAGAGAATTTCACGAAAAAACCAATGAAATCACTCTTGAACTCTTTTGTTTCATATTTTTGAAAATATGAGCTTTCAAAGTTTCCAGATTTTTTTCCGAAGTCGCCTATTGACTTGGTCCTGTGCGCGGCTGTAAAATTTCCGCTACTTTACTTTGTAAAATTTCATTGAAGGAGTTTCTCGAGCAAATTTTTCAAGATTCCGATTTTTTTTCGATCGATACGTGTTGAACCCATAGTATTTCCTCGCATTTTAAACATAAGCCCAGCCGGGAAAATGGTCTTTACNGGGGGGGGGGGGGTATAGACAAGAACCCATTTTTCTAAACGAGGGTCTCGTTTTTTCAAGCGGCTGTATACATATGATCACAACCTTTCTGGAGGGAGGGGAGGCACTAACCGTTCGGAAAACGCAGGTGGCAGCTCACCCAAAGCTCACCTTTCCCGAGACCCCCTTGGCTTCGCCTATGTTTCTGGGAAAGTATCACAGATGTCATGCAATCTTGCCTCATTATGGATCGTATTCGATAGTGGTTCGATATATCGTTTGGTTAAAAACAATAGAGCATAACCTCAAACAAAAATTTAAAGATTTACGTTGGAAAAGCTGAAAATGAGAAAATTCCTCACGATCTCACTCATCATTGCCATTTTGTACTCATAAGTGTCAGAAATCTATCACAAAGAACCCGTTCCCTCAGATTACTCAATTGACTTTTGGGATACTTCCCAGCTCAGACCCATGTAACATTTCTCAACGGAAAAATCTATATATAATGCGATTTTATCGGCGATAAAAGTGCCAGGATCATCAACATCTGAGTGATTATCCTCGATCTTATCCCGATAAAATTGCGCTTTTATCGCCCAAAAATTTATCGTGATATTTTCGGGAAAAAATCGCGATAAATGGCGATTTATTCTCGATTTTATCGACGAAAATTGATCACGATTTTATCAAACCAAAAATTGCGATGTGTAGCGATTAATCGCCATATATCGCAATTTTCAATGCGATAATATCTCGATGTATTGCCACCGATATAATCGCGATAACCAACGGATAAAATCGCTATTCATCGCGATCACTGCCACTTGGGGAGGCGGTCCGGGAAATTTTTTGAAATTTAAAGTCTATTTGGATGCATTTTAAGGCTTCCGTAACGCAGATTGTCCATCAATTTCTGCGGAAAAACTAATTTCCTTTTTTAACTTTCAGCCTAAAATACCGTCGAATTGTTGCATTCAACACATTTGGAAAATTTTAGACATTTTAACTCTATTTGAACGCATTTTGAAAGTTCAAGCTTCCTCTTTTCTTGTCTTTTCTTATTTTCTATCTCTTCTTTTCTTCATTCTCTTCCTCCTCCTTCTGCTTTCGGGGGGTGGGGGCTTGAACCCCACAAGGCAACTCCTCTCCCCCCGGCTAAGTGCCTGAGTATGGATGTTGGAGAGATCATCGAAAAATCCCAAAGGTCTGAGAGTTTTATGATTCCGGTTGATACGAAGACACGCATGCGTTCTTCCACCGTTGGGTTTTTCAACAGGAATTCTTGTTTCAGACACAGCGAATTCCAGCTTTAAGAACCCAGAGTTAACCACTAATTTTAAAACGCGAGCGGTTTGTGTAATGTAAATTACCATTACAAATCTGAGACCCTCGGATTTTTCTGGTAGCCGTCTATGGTTTTTATTGGTTTTAGTGACTATATCGAAACAATTTGTTGGGAAAAATCAATAAAAACACAGGTAATTAAATATCACAGTGTACAATTTTATTTCAAGAGATTCCTCTTATCTAACAAAAAATTATTTAGTCTTCAATAAGCACACTTAGGTATACAAAAGAAATATCGCTGAGACTCTGAAATTTTGTGAGATGTAGCAAAATGTATAATTTGCCTCATTTTCTATCGTAATTGTTTGGTAGAACATCTGAAAAGGCACTTTATGAAGCGTAAATGATCACTCTTGAGGTATATAAATTTTTAACCTGAGGGAATTTTAGGGGTGGAATACGATCTTAGAATCTATGGGTCATATAATTTAATTTCAGATGATATGGCCTCCAGGCAAAAAAGTACATCTAAAATTGACTCTCAAAAATTCGATGACATTACATCAAAGATGTGATCTCAGGAAATACTATGCATTTCTCCAATCATCATCAATAAGAAAAAAAGCAAATATGAAAATAAAAAAAAATCTCTGTTGTTTTCTCAATCACATATTTTTTCTCGGTCTAAACTCTTAAACATTATGGCGCGAATGAATTTAGAAGAGATCGATGATTTTAGGGCAATCCAACTGAATCAGGGCAATATTCAATTTTGATTATTACAAGGATCTTCACTTCAATTTCAAGAATACTCACATACAAATAATGATGCTAAGGTAAAATATTTCAAATGTTGACAAATGATAAAACTGCTGTAAATAAGTTGGAGTGACAACCTACGTATATTTTTTACTTCGAGTGTTTTTCCAATGCATGATAGCCCTTATAATTAGATTTTCGAGTATAAAATGTATCTCTCATTCTTGCATGATAATATACAGCAAGAGAGCCAAGCTGTCTGATGAAGTACCAATTGCATACGCTTTGGCCTAGCTTTGAATTGAAGGGGCAGTTTCCAACTCGCACTTCTTACTATCGGAATGAAGTAATGGAAATGGTATATGGTATCAAGATGGAGCAAGGACGTAAAATAATTATGCGATTAATTTGATGGATTCATGTTACGCCCTCAGGGCGGATTTTTTTCGTTATCAACATGGTACCGGCATGGTACCAAGTTGGTCAAACTGATCAACAGTTACAAATATGGTACTTACAGGAGATTACGTTGAGGTTGAGATCAAGTTGACGCCGATTGACAGTGACATAACCATAGGGATTTTCCATTAAATCAGACTGGATCCAAACGATAACAATGGCATAACCTCTTTGAATGATACCAATAAGAATAAATCGACATATACATATCGACGGTGCATGTAAGTCGGCAATCACATAACTCGGTTTGCGACGTCGCAGACTTCCTTTCACACTTTATTTTTTGAATGGAAAACTACTCAACGGCTATTCTTTAAAACTCCAGTGATTTTTCTTCTCTATGCGAAGAAAATTCTGCAAAAACTTCAAGGAATCATGTCAATTTGTTCTCCTCTAAAAAAATAACATAGAGGCGGAGATTTTCAGACACCGCAAACGAGTTACGTGATTGCCGGCTTACACCGTCGCTGTATCGATTTTCTGGAACGTGGCCAGAGACAAGAGACCCTCCCCTAGTATCTTGGCCACTGTGGAAGCTTTTACTTTCGGGACTTCAGCATTCTACTGTTGACTTACCTACATCAGTTTCCTTTTTCCAAACAAGCCGAAAATGGCCAACGTTTGGGAAACTTGTTTGGCTCATGACGTCATCCGAAGCTCACCATGTAGGTAAGTCAACAGCCGAAACTAGGGTGATGACTGTTGCTCCCTAGTAATCGTCCGGAAGGAATTGTTGAGACCCCGAAAGTAAAAGCTTCCACCTGTCGCTAGGAGGCCAGTGGAGGATCTCTTGTCTCTGGACGTGGCACTGATATTGCCTATACTTATAGCAGAGCAAGGCAATCGAGCCTCGACTAGGTGGTCAGGTAACAACTTCCCTCATTCTGGTAGCACCACTCGGGCTCGACGGAGTCGGCTCGAAGCCCGCGCTGGACGAGTCGCTCCCGGTGGTGGAGGAAGCGGTGCTCGGCGGACTCCCAGCCCTCCTGCGGGTCGCTCCAGAGGCGCTCGGCGAGGGCGGCCACCCGCGGCCAGAGCCGGGAGTCGGCGTTGTGCTCGTCCGCCTGCTCCGTCCACAGCGCCGCCTCGGCGCCCAGCACCAGCCTCCGCGTCGCCGGGGTCGCGTCCACCCCGAGCGAGGCCAGGAGCTTCATCGGGTCGTTCTCGTAGACCTTCTGCCACGGGATGAACGGCGAGCACCAGTTGTTGCCCTCGCCGACCCAGGCGCCGAATCTAGAACAGGCAAAACAGGCTCATTAGAGCGCGCGAGAACATGAGGTTGGACGTAGTTCTACTAAACGGAACCAGCGGGCCGATTATTGAAATTGATAGACAAAGCTATAGACAAAGAAGACATAGGGGGTATAAAGTAATCCTACCTATTGGTTGAAATGGGTGGTTCTCATGTAGACCAAGGGGGAAAACGATAGACTAACTATCGGGTCTCTCGTGGGTGACCGTTACTTAGTCTATTACCTACCTCCTTTGTCCATTGTAACCACTCGCTTCTACCAATAGGATAGGATCCCTCCAAATCATTTTTGTCTTCTTTGTCTATTGATTTGTCTATCAATTTCAATAATCAGTCCGCAGAGACATGGTGGGAGAGAAGGGGTGTGGTCGTTAGTCGAGGGCCGTGAGAATGGATGGGGATTGTAGTGCAAAATGTAGTTCAATCTACGGACGTATACTTAAAGGAGTGATTGATAGAGTCAGGCAAAATTAGAAATTAATGAGATAACTGTACTTATTTTACAATAGAAGAAACCAAAATGTCTGACTTTTCCTTTAAAAAAAACCTATATTAGCATTGGAAACTGATGGCACTTTTGATTTTCCTACAATGATCCAGAAATAGTCGTTCCTTATGTTAAAATTCAATCCAATTATTTCACTGCTTATAGGTGTCAAATCTGCATCATTTGGCGCAAATACCACCTGAGAGTTCTAACAACTGGACTGCATTTTGCAATTTGGAACTATGAATTCTGACACTTCTGGAAAAACACTTAAGTGCATAGGGAAACTAATGGCACATACGTTGTTTTTAACCCGGGCTAGAATTTATAGTTCCAAATTGCAAAATGTAGTCCAACTGACCTTTTCAGCGTATTTCGAAGTTTAAGGACGATGAATCGTGAATCTGAAAAAAACCAAGATGAAGTTCGCTGCTTAAGTCATTTTTTAAAGAACAAGACAAGTACGAAACTCACCCGCAATCGAAATAAAGAGCGTCATAATTGGAGAAAATCACTGGGTATCCGTTGTTCACCAAATTGGCGATCGTCTGATCGTCTCCTTTCGTCCAAATCTGCACGATGTATTTCTTTGGGTCCAAGAACCTCTTGAGCCGAGCCTCAGTAGTCAGAGTGCTGGTCCAGATGATCGGCTTTTGTTTCCCATTATTGATGGTTTCGAGTCGCTTCAGGGCTTCTTGTTGGAAACTGTTCCAAAGTTCATGGAAGTCATCGTCGGAGCGGTTCATATTCCTGAGGAGGCAATTCAAAAAATCAAATATGTTATGTTGTGCGTGATGAATGGTGTGTTGCAAGGTGCGGGGATTTGCGAATTGATAACTGATTCCAATGGCGAATTTCACGAAAAGAACGATGACGCTATTCACTAATCTTAAGATCACCTCCCAAACTCAAAAAAAAAAAAAAAAAAAAAAAAAAA